AGGAGTATACAAACAAGGACATCTTGTTTATTGATAGCACATTGAACACTTTGATTTTGCTTTCTTGAAGTTGCAGTCAACTGAAGCCCACATCCTCCATGAGCAAACCCAGATGTTTTTTCACTTTCTCACATCATACAGCTAACAGTGTTAGAAATTCCATACTCCATTTTAAAACAACCATGTAGAACTGGAGTTAGTCCTTGAATGCATTATTTAAGAAGAGGGTAACTTTTCAAAAACACAAATTCCTTGGTGCTCTTCCACCATCAGTATTTTTACACAAGAGAAACAAGGAAACCAAGTCTGCTTCTGAGTTCTTTGGCAAAATGCACTGACATTAGATCCATCTAAGAAATGGTCATTAGCCATCTCAGACTTGACAGTCTCTCAGGAGAACAGAGAAGCTCCATAATGAAACACACCCTAACAATCAGGTAATTTACCTGTTCCATACATTTATTGAAACATTAGCAGAAAGGACTCATGGTCGCACATGAACCATTTTTTCCTCATTTGCCTAACTGTCTCTTAGACTTCCCTTTCCTCCTGTTCCAGGAAATTAATAAGCACTTTAGAAGCTATAATTAAAACATTTCATCTGCATTCAAGAACTTCAGTACAAGAAAAGGCTAATGCACTGATAAAAGCAAACAGCAGCAAATTCTAACACTTTTTATGCTTGAACATTAGATGTTTTACATTTCTCAGCTACCAGCTACTCATTGGTGTTGCAAAGCAGTAAGTTTTTCTAAGTCTACTCACACACAAATTTAAAGTTCATTGTAAATCAGTGTTTTCTCTGTTCAGAACACAATGAAACAGTCAAGTTTCAGTCTCTTTCATACTCTAAACAACCTTGTGAAATGCTACAGTCAGTCTCACAAATGTACTTTTGTTAGCAAACAGTTTAAGCAGCCTACAAGAACTAGCTACCCACTCAGCAAACAACAAAGAGCTTCAAAAACAAAAAAGCACAGTACTCAAGTTAATAAAAATGATTGCTTAGTACAGGAAATAATTTCCTCTCTCAGTTTTGTTCAAATTATTATGTATCATTTCTAGAACACATTTGTCAAACAAAAGCAAATATTATTTGCTCACAATAGCTTTTAAAGGGAGTTTTGCTTGAGTTTTATTAATCTGATCAGGAAAATTGCTTCAGAAAATTTAGGACTAAGTAGGTAAAACTCCAAACTTCTCAGTGAAATGAAATACTTTGTCTCATAAAGGTTCATCGTCTCCTATTCTCCATCAGGTGTTCTGATAGAAAGCTGCTAAAACAACTGAAGAAAAATTGAAGGATGGATGAAGTTCATTGAAACTAACAATCATTGAAGTCTTCCTCATTCAAACTGAAAAGGAAATGGGACAAGCTTCCAGGTTGTGAATGTTACATTTTTCCTACAAATTGCTTTTTCTCTACAAAGAGATATGCACATTATAGGAAAATACAGTACTAACCATTTAATTTTGAAAACATTTGATTGAAACAAGAAGTCAGACACGTGCTCTCCAACAAGCATTAGCAGACTAAAAGCTAGATTTACATGTATGTTTTAACCGGACCAAACACCTATTACGTACATACAGGACATTTCCAAAGCTTCTGGTTTTATGTAATTTAATAGGAACAGTTTGAAAAAAAAAACAGGTTCATCTACACAACACACCTACATCTTTCATCCTATGAAGCTGTATCATAAAGACAAATACTGCACTAAAAGAAAATGAGAATAACATGATTTCCTGAGGTTTGATGACATACTTTGGAGTCCAAGCCAGTGTTACAAGACTGTATTACCTTTTACCTTGCTTTGTCTTACATTCATCAAGTTATTTAGTTGCATACTACTAAGAGAATGCTTTTAAATAATGTATTGCTTTAATATATCAAATAGTTTGATCATTTATTTAGAAGTTAGGTGCCATAATATCTCCCACTCCACATAAGAATGACAACAAATGCTATTTGCCTTGAGCAAGCAGTCTAGACTAAAAAGGAATATGCAGGAAACTTGAAAATACGAACACCATCACCACCACACACTCAATGAAAAAAACAAAAACAAACCAAATAATCTGCTAAGTCATTCACGAATGTGTACCCACATGTATGAAAATTCTCATGCTTATTAAAGCAGCTTCTGAAGTGCCAGCTCTGGGGATGTGTAATTCAACAACTTGTTCGGAGCATCCTCTTGAGATATTTCCTTCAGGTGATGCAAGATTAACACACTGCAGCATTCTTGTCGTAAACATACAAGATTAGATATGTATTTTTTTTCACAAGATTAAGGAAAACAATCCTTGTTTTGCAACTTAATTTTGTATGTTTTCATGCTGTCTGTATCAAAGTGAAAGCAAGATGTCAACCTATAAAAGGACATCTTGCTGAAAGACAGCACTTAAAATTTAAGAGTTTTTACTCCTTATTTTAAATCTGCCTCAAGAAAAGTTGAAAGTTATCAATTACATATACTCCTTTGAAAAGCTCAAGGTAAAAAATACAAGTAAAATATAGGTAAAATTAATTACGTACCTACTTACATATCTATTTTAATTTATATTTCTGTAGCACTTGTGTAACCCAGATATCGATATTGTGTTGTACTGGATATTGTATTTAAACTTAAAAACTTGAGGCAGAATTTATCTTGTACAGAGTGGATGTCTTGTGCATTACGTTCTTTAAAAATATCTGACCTTCGAACCCTTTAAGTAAAAAAAAATAATGGATTTCAAAAGCATAGAACAAGAACACTAAAATGACTGATGAGTAAGGTCTTAGAAGACAAGGACACAAGAGACAGCAATCAGATTGAATAAAAGCAGTTAAAAGAACAAACATATGAACCATATAAAAACAGAATCATAAGCTAAAAGAATGGAATCCAAGACAAATAAGTTTAACATCTAGGACAGACAACAAACAATTTGGTAGTAAGAGAGAATGGACAAAACCAACAAAAAGCCACTTAAATATGATGCAAGTTTTTTCTTTTTTTAAGCTAGAGGAAGGTTCACAGTTGTTAGCTCTTACCTATGATGGGTAAGTAAATAAATTCCATTGGAGTGTATTTAACTCACTGCTTCAAACTTGGAACTGTTGTCTGTCACATACAGTTTTAGCACTTCTATGGAAGCTTATCACTCTCTACAAGGACCACCAGATCACAGAATCACAAGGTTGGAAACAACCCGTAAGATCATCTAGTCCAACTGTCTTCTTATTACCATTGCTACCACAAACTCAGCTCTTCACCCAAACGCCTCTTGAACACTGCCAGGGATGGTGACTCCACCACCTCTCTGGGCAGCCATTCCAGTGCCCGACCACCCTCTGAGAGAAGTAGTTCTTCCTCATGTCCAACCTAAAGCTCCTCTGGTACAACTTGCTGCCATTTCCCCAGGTCCTGTTTGTTGCCTGGGAGAAGAGATCATACCTCTCTTCACCACAACCTCCCTTCAGGAAGTTGTAGAGTGCAATGAGGTCTCCCTTGAGCCTCCTCTTCTCCAGGCTAAACAATCCCAGCTCCCTCAGCCGCTGCTCATAAGACTTGTGCTCCAGACCCCTCACCAGTTCAGTTGCCCTTCTCTGGACACACTCCAGGGCCTCAATGTCTTTCCTGTAGTGAGGGGCCCAAAACTGAACACAGTACTCAAGGTGCGGCTTCACCTCACCAGAGCTGAGTACAGGGGGATGATCACCTCCCTGCTCTTGCTGGCCACACTATTTCTAATGCAGGCCAGGATGCCATTGGCCCTCTTGGCCACCTGGGCACTCTGTTGACTCATGTTCAGCCAAGCATTAACCAACACTCCCAGGTTGCTTTCCTCTTCACAGTCATCAGCCACTCGTCCCCAAGCCTATAGTGCTGCATGGGGTGGCTGTGGCCAAAGTGCAGGACCCGGCACTTGGCCTTGTTGAACCTCATCCCATTCACTTCAGCCCAGTGATCCAGCTTATCTAGATCCCTCTGAAGGGCCTCCTTACCCTCAGGCAGATCGACACCACCTCCCAATTTGGTGTCATCTGCAAACTTACTGAGGGTACACTCAATCCCCTCATCTAGGTCATCAATAAAGATATTGATGATTCAATAAAGAAAATGCCCAGAGGATAACAGGATGGGTCCCAGTACCAACCCTTGGGGGACACCACTTGAAACAGGTCACCAGCTGGACTTAACTCCATTAACCATTACCCGTTGGGCATGGCCCTCTAGCCAGCTCCTTATCTAAAGAAGGGTATACCTCTCCAGGCCACGGGCAGCCAGTTTCCACAGGAGAATCCTGTGAGAGACTGTGTCAAAGGCTTTGCTGAAGTCTAGGTAGACTACATCAACAGCCTTTCCCTCATCTACCAGGCTCGTTACCCAGTCATAGAAGGAGATGAGGTTGGTCAAGCACGACCTGCCTTTCACAAACCCATGCTGGCTGGGCCTGATCCCCTGGACACCACGCACATGCCATGCGATCTCACACAAGATGATTCGCTCCATAATTTTCCACAGTACCAAATCAGGCTGACAGGCCTGAAGTTCCCTGGATCCTTCCTACAGCCCTTCTTGAAGATGGGAGTCACATCAGCAAGCCTCCAATCCTCTGGGACCAGGAGCACTAATAGATGGGCCAAGAGCAGCTCAGCAATCACCCCCGCCAGCTCCCTCAGTACCTGAGGGTGTAGGCCATCCAGTCCCATGGACTTGTGACAGTCCAGATGGAGGAGGAGCTCTGTCTCCACCCAAATAGCCGGGGGTATATTCTGAGTAGCATCCCAGACTTTCAGATCAGGGCATAAAATGCCCAGAGGATAACCGGTCTGTCTATCAAAGGCAGATGCAAATAAGGCATTGAGGACCTCAGCCTTGTCCTTATCCTCAGTGGCCACATCCCCTGCTACATTAAGTATAGGATGAAAATTCTCCCTGGTTCTTCTTTTATCACTGATATATTTGTAAAAGGATCTAACATGTGAGAAAGAAAATAAGACTTACCTTATGTTGTTCTATTGCATCTACCCATTGTTGTCTGTGGTCTGGGTCCTGAGCTCGAAGATACCAAACACTATCATTTACACTAATATCAAATCTGCATTCGTCAAAGTCATGGGGCTGAGAAAAAAGAATTGCAAGAAAAGCTGGAATTAGTAACATGACCAACAATATCTTACAGAATATTCTGACAATCACACATTGTAATTAGCAAAGCTTGTCTTTGATTCTAAATGCCATTTTATTTAGCTCTCTCAAATAATAAACTAATGTACATTTTCACAATGAAAAGTGCCTGTTTTCTGAAAAAGAAGCTGAAATGAAAAGCGGGAGACAGAAGCCAAACTGCTGAATATATTCTTATTACTGAAAAATTATCACAAAAAGTGTTCTACACAAATACTGACCAACATTTCATACTTCCAAACCAATTTCTTAGCAACTAGTGGACACAGAACAAAGTACACTACTATTATTGTTCTTTTAAAATTTCAGAGCAAGAGGTGAATTCAAGTTATTGCTGTTAGTACTGATTTTAGATGGAAGTCAAACAATATAGCAAAATCCACTAAGACAGAACCATAAAAACTGACTACAGCAAAATGACATGAAAGAGAAGAAAAAGGAAGCTGTTGCACCCTCTGCCCTCCAGCTATTTTTGCCATCTAAGACAAGAATATCAGATAATTGAAAGCAACATTCAATCCTTTCCCATACACTAATTCGATGCACCTTTACAATGAAAGCAGATGAGACGTAGAGGGGGACAAAATAATCTCATCTGCCTCGCACTTGACATTGTCAAAATTAATCCCTAGCCAACACCCAAGAGAGTACAGCTTTTTCCTTTAAAGTTACTCTTTATAAAGTCTTACTATGGCTGAATGCCTTTACTGTTTTTGCTACGTGAAAAAAAATTTCTGCTAAATGTGAAAATACGGCAGGAAGCAAAAAGGCTCTTAGCTTAAGGCAAGTGATGTGAACTCAAGGTCCACAAATTCCTGACCCCAACAACAAGGCTACAAGAGTCAATGTCCTTCGTGGTATATGAACTAGATAGACTACAGTATGCTTATCTTGCAGACAGTTAAGGCACCGTACATCAATCGTGAAACACTCTTCAAACGAAAACCAAAGAGCAGGTCTCACTTGTTGGTTTCATGCATGAGTCCATAGTGCCAGTCAGAATTATTTTCAAAGGATCTGAAAATTAAAAGCTACTTATATATACAGTCCTTCCAGTTTAGATCTATGGGAGGAATAATAAGAGATACAGCAGAAACCAATAATCAAAATCAAACAAAAAGGAGCTTTGAGTTTAACAGGAGTACATGAAAGCTCCTTTTTATTTTTTTTTGCAGCTTCCAGCTTCGTATATTTGTTCAAGAATCTGGACCTAAGTTCAAACTAGAAATTTTAACTTCCCAAAGAAAGAACAGCTACTAACACAACTGACAATCATGTGCATTAACTAACTTCTATTAATTACTTAAAGCAATTTTCAAAACTAATTACGTATGCTGTTTTTATTGAACCCAAAGAACATAGACACACAAGGGACATCAGGTTTTCTCATCCAAGGTCATTTTTTTTTTCAAAATGCATTTTGTACATGATTATTACAATATGTGGGAAATACGTTTATCTGTCTTAGATTAGCAAGTCTGCCACATCAATAATTTAAGCTTATAAACCTATTCCCAATCACTCTTCTACCAGGCTCTCTTTTTGCTGTGTGTTGGGGTATTATGCATTTAAAGAAATGGAAGACTTTCCCAGAAACTGTTCAAAAAGCAAACGTACAGGAATTAGCTATCAAAGTTTTTACTCCCATAAGAGTAATTTAACTGATCTCTATTTGAGGCTATCTGGGAGGAGTTAAAAGCAGTAGCATGATTTATCCAGTTAGAAAGTTTTTAGAACTGAAAAGCCTGCACTTCCATGCACAACTTACTTCTCTGTATAACCTGTCAGAAAGTTTCTCCCTCTCTAAGCTAAACTTTTACTGTAATTTAAGACCATTACCTATTTGCCCTTTCCAAAGGCATGTTTATGTATTCTCTTTCTTGGCACAGCAACTCTAGATACATTTGAAAAAAATAAATACTTTGTTATTAAGACATGGCAGGGAAGAGCTTTACCTGAGGTCTAATTACAAACTGAACACCCTCCTCCCACGCCACATGCTGAATTTACACTTCTGCAATTTACTTACAATTAAAAGAGAGGACCATCTGCAAATGAGGTCAAGGTTTGTATTTGGCTTACATGTCAAGGTTTCAGTACTGGGGAGCCTGCAAGGTTGGCCTCTGTGAGCAAAGCCCAACAGCTGCTCCATATCAGATCACAGTCAAAACCAGCTGCTAGAGAAGAAACCTTGCCCCTGCCATAGTTCAACCATTAGCAATGCTGGATGTGTTCTGGGAGAGCAAATTTAAGAAAGGTCTCTGTGTGAAGGCACTGGGGCCTGTCCTGTGCTGGACACACACGGTTCCACATATGGCCCCAACGGGCTCCATCAGCTAAGCTGGTGGTGTGGCAGTGAAATCATATAACGGAAGAGACAATTAGGAAACAAATGAACAAGTTGTGTAGGAGAATCTGGGAGATGACTGAGGGAACTCAGAAATAACCATGTGAACATCCAGGTCACAGAAAAAGGAGGTGCTTCACACACAAGGGCAGAGATTTTACAGTGCCACAGATATTTCCCTACAGCCCATGAGGAGGATGATGGTGGAGCAGAAAGCCACATAGCAGGCCTTGCAGGATCACATGCTGCTGTAGTGAAGTGTGTCCTGAAGGAAGCTGCAGCCTGTCAGATGGACCCCCAGTAAGGCAAGGAAGAAGTGCAAAGATAAAGGACTTGTAGAAATATACTGTTATGAACTGACTGCAGCAACCATTCCCATTCTCACCACTGGGAGAGCTAAGAGGAAGTAGAAAAGTTGGCTATGAAGGAGAAAAGATGAAACCAAGAAAGGAGAGAGAGAGGAAGGGAATTTTTGTTTTACCTGTTTTCTACAAGCCAAATCTGTTTTTAACTGGCTACAAATTTATTTTGCCTGAGCCTTTTGCCCATTATGTTAACTAGTAGGTGGTCCCCCTGTTTTTTGTCTCAACCCACAAGCTTTTTATCTTATTTTCTCTGCCTGCGTTGTTAAGCCGGAGTAAGAGAGCAGGCAGGCAGGGGGTCTGGCAGCCAGCCAAGTTCAACCTACCACAGTAATCTAGAAAGTCATTATAAGCATAGCTTGTGAGTAATGTACTTCTTAGAAAGAACAAGAAGGCACAAGGATTGTTCCAAATTAGAGGTAACAGTTTTGCTCCATGCAGTCAAACTTCAAGCAAGGAAGATATTTCTAAAGGAAAAATACAGGGATGACACTTGTTAAGAGAAAATAACATCAAGGCAGGATAAAACAAGGAGACCACTTAGAAGAGAGTTGTTCAGGCTGTTCTAAAAAGTGAGTGATGACTACAGACAGCAATATACTAACTTGACTAAATACTTCTCCTTAGTACTTAATAGGGCAAAAGAGATCATGTCTTTAGACTTATCTTGTCAGGTAAAGTTATTCGAGTATAGTGTTCACCAATTAAATGCATTTTGATTAACAGAGATTTAAGAATTTTAAGAGTTACTCATTATATAGAATATAAATTTGAAATTGTGTCTTTTCATCTCACTATCTTCTATTCAACAACTTTTTCTAAGTCAGCATTTTCAGTCTTTTTAAACGTTGTAAGGAGGGAAAATTGTTCCTCTGCAGTTTGAATCTATTAAGGATGAAGAACTTTCAAAAAATTTTAAGATGTGCACTTCCTGAAATTTGGCTAAGATTTTTCACTTGCTCTTCCTGAGCTGAATAATCCCAACCTTTACGAATTCTATGTGCTGATTTTCATTTGGAAGCTGAAGTTCAGTTTTCCTGGGTACTTTTAAAATAAATTCTTTCAACCATACAACTCAATTCTTAAAATTACTTTAATTTAGATTTTAGCTAGCATCTCAACAAAAGTGCCCATACTTTTTTTCCCCATTTGTTCCCACTGTCAAAATACCCATCTTGGTTTTAGTTTCATCTCTCAAACTGCAATATTTCTCTTGTTTTTGATACATGCTTCTTAATGTTAAGCCTATAGCCACCAAAAATGATGTCAGTCTTTGATTTTACTACCTGTAATTTTAGACTGCTTTCACTAACTTCCTCTTCTGCTACTGCATCAAGTTCCTTTTTGAGGTCCTCAGTGACACATTTCTATATGTTATAAGATCTTAGATCTTCTGTGTTTATCTTGAAGTAATGGTCTACTACTTCCTCAGTTATCAATTATGCATCTCCATCACGCGTTCATTACGCATCCTTCTGTTGTGAGGAGTTCCCCTTGCTCATCTGCACAGTCACCTTTTTAAATTTTGTTTCAGAATTAACAAGGATTGTAGACAAAGCTGAGTGTATTCTGATACTGCCTGTCCTCCACTGTATTACTGTGCCCTATACATACCATTCCAGGACAATGTATGTACCACGCTGGAAATTAGAGGATAGAGGGGGTTCTGCCATTTGAGTGAATACATGTAGGTCTGGAACCTACTGAATGACCTATGGGAACCATATAAGGAGATACGCAGATTTTGTTATGCAGCAGCTGTTCTGATCTCTTTTCTGTGGTGAAGAGAATGCTAGTTCAGACATCGTGGAACTGGAGAATTTTAAGAAGCTGCAGAATGATGAAGGAAGGAATTCCTGAATTCCACCTGAATGATGGAAAAACTGGCAGATGAGCTGTACCTTGCACTGTAAAAAAGTAACACTGTTCACTACTGGAAAAAAAGAGCATATGTTCAGCCCCGCTGAACCAACAAGCATCATTTATGACAGCCTGGCTTGCATCTCATTTTCCAGGGCTTAACTGTTCACATCCACTTTTATTAACAGTTGGACTTGATTTCAGAGTTCTTTCCCTACCAAAATGATTCTATGATTAGAAGTAATAAAGTTGCTACTGATCAAGACAACTACATTTACAAGATACTTCAGGCGTGCAGTTACAGCTTCAGAGTTTCAATATAGTATTTTCATATTTTCTTATCAGAGGAAGTGAAAAACAAAATG